CTGTGTGGACACTCCCAGGTTCCTAATCATGTTTAGGGATTACTTGATAGAACAGAGACATTTCATTCCAATTGGGACAGGGGATTACAGCAAAGAAACATCTAATATTCCATTTTTTAATTTCATGCATTTTTTATTTACCTTTAATGATGCTGTATATATTCATCATCCTGAAATATTAAAACAGTATGAAAAAAGTAATAAATTGGTGGAAAATTTAGGGAATCGGAATGCAACAGCACGCAAATCATACACTATCAAGTGCTTGATACACATTTAAAATTACTGCCTACTACGGCAAAGCCAAATTCCTAGCAGATTTCTGAAGCACAAAGTCACAATAAGAAGATCAGCAGAACAGACTGAAATAATAGAATATTCATCCCTCTAATCCATATGCAATTCTTTAGGGCTTTTTTTTTTTTTTTTTAACAATGCATATGAGGTCTGACTGTATTCAGGATTTAAATAAGTTGTCTCTCTCCTTCCTGCTCCTCTCTATTTTTATGTAAAAAAAATGTATATACAGTTATCATTTCTGCACTGTTGCACCCACGAAGACAAGGTGAGCACATTCTCTCACACCTCAAATGAAACAAAGGCACTTTTAAACAACAAAAGTGTTAGAAAAAATACCAATCACTCAGCCCACTAAAGCCTCCTGAAACAGCTTTTTGGGAAGAAGGAAAGTTGGTGTCATTCATGGGGGGCACGAAGTGATGCTTTTGTCCTTTAATTACCAATTAATGGATTGATATAATGTTACATTTAAATACCGACAAGAAGTGCTAAGGGCATTTCATCATTGCTCATTCACCTTCCCTTGCAGAGAGATGAGACTGTCTACTGGGCATTAATAAATATCGTAACAAGGAATAGAAAATCACAGAGGCAGAAGCCTCCATCACCTGGCTTGGCGTGAACATTTCTGGGAGAGCCCCTGGAAGTCTGAGAGAGGGCAGGACACACTGGACATGCGATGTCCGGCACTAAGATCCCCGGGCAGACGCCTCGCAGCCCGTGTTCTAACTGCCCCATGTTCACAGCAGTCATCCTGCGGCAGGAATGGTGTTTTTACAATGACTTTTGTTCGATTTCTTTGTATATTCTGATTTATTTTTCTTTAATGAACACTTACTACCTTATAACAAGGAGGAAAACCAAGAAAAGAGAAACTACTTAAAATGCTACCTATTCCTTAAAGCCTCACACATATCTCCTTCTTTAAGAGGCTTTCTTCCATTCACCCAAAAGAATGGTCCCTCCTTTTTTTTTTCCTAAAGATTTTATTTTCAAGTAATCTCTGCACCCAGCGTGGGGCTCAAACTCACAACCCCACGATCAAAAGTTGCATGCTCAACTGACAGAGCCAGCCAGGCGCCACCCTCCCCCCAGCCCCGTCCCTCCTTTATGCTAATGTTGCTAGCAAATTTCTTATGCCCAAATCATATTCTGCCTTGTGATATGGTCCTTTGCCTTATAAGCATGACTTTTATAAGATTAAGTCCCTTCAGGACAAAGGCTGGGCCTTCTTTTCTATTATTTTCTCTCTTCTAGTACTCATCACGACTCTTACCACCTCGTAGGTATTTAATAATTTGTTGTTGTTGCTGTTGTTGAATTGATTAAAACTAGTTTTATTAAGTGTTTTTATTTCTGTTACACTCACTGTTTTTCAGCTCACTACTCCACTTAGACAATTCTGCCAATTGTAGATGCGCTTAGTTACCATGAATGACATGAAATACAGAGATGTAACACCTTCTAGAAAATCAGTTGGAGGGGGACCTGCATGGCCTACCACTTCAAACACTGACCCGAACAGAAAAGGCGGTGTGCAGCTCTGCAGAAAAATGAAAACATTTACAGGATGTGGAGCAGAGACAAACAATAAAAGGTTAGAAATAAAAGTTCCCATTTTCACCAAACAATAGCAAAATGTATAGGAGATGATGGGGGTATGTGGCAGAGAGAAGAAAAGAGTTCTTCATTCCACCTAGGAGAGAGAAATAGGAGTTTCTTTGGGGGAAGAGATGCAGCTACACCCAAATTTAATAAGTATAAAAGCACAGCCTGGTAAAACTTTAATTGAGAAGAAAAGCCTTAAGGAAATTCTCACAGTCCAGACTACAGCTCTTAAAATCCTTTGCCAACCCCTCTCTGCCATTTGCCTGGTAGTCACACGTCACCATTTCTCTCTAGCTCTCATGATACATTCCAGAGTCAAGATAAGCTGAGAATCCACCCGATTTTAATCCAGTTCCTTCCTGACATTTTATAGCTTATTCTTTCATTCCTCTTGAAAGACATTAAAACATCTTGAGAGGCAAGATATTCAAAAGATGGAGTGATGAATGCAAGAGGAAAAGAGGAGAAAGAACTTGTTAAAGCTGATGTAAACTGCAGAAAAAAAAACAAAGCTAATGTCTTCTTATTCCCTCTCTGTCTTATGTCAGAACGAACTGCCTTCAATTCTAAAGATGATTGAAGACCATCTTTTTTTTTTTTTTTCCCCAGTTCAACTTCCTATTCCAGTAAGCCTTTGGACTCTAGGCAATCATTCAAGAATTCAGGAGCGTTCTCAAGTTCTTGTGTGAACCAAGATGTGTCAGTCTACAGCAGGCGTTTCAGTTGCTCTGAGATTCTCTGCCGAGTACACCCAGCATTTGGCTCAAGCTTCTTCCAGACAATACATGGTTTTGCAATTGGCCACCCAGACTTGTTAGGGTTAATAAATTACCTGATATTTATAACTGGTGACAAGAGGACAAGGTGTCACAGATGAGGGGGCAGAGAAAGTGATAAGATTTTGCTAATTTAAAATTCGATGCCAAGTGCCAGCTCCATTCACGAAAGCTTGTCTTCCTTTTCCCTTAGAAGTATTCCTTTCCTTGTCTACAGGTTCTCTCCTTAGGATTTCATGAACTGTGCTTTCCCTACCTTTGAGGGTGAGGAGGTTAGGAGTTCTAACTGTGTTTGGCACAAACATACCCATCTTTGGAAATTCTGGCATAGTAAGTCACAGGATATCAGACTGGGATCATTTTACTTTCTCTATAAAGATGGAGATGTATTTTTTTAGAGTTGTTTGAGGTTGACATTATTTGATAGTGAATTTCAACCTGTTCCACGTTTCTAAAATGGAATTTCCTTATGAAATAATGATATCTTCTAAAAGTCTAAATGGATGACAAATTATATAAAATAACACTTGGAGGAAACCAATTTTTAACAAACCCAACTAAAATCACCTCAAGTGTAAAAAAAAGATGATGAATAACAACAGAAAATTTATCACTTGAAAACAAAGAATGGTATCAAGGTTGTAACTGTACTTCTTGGCAAAATGCTCACACATTAATAAATTTAAAGAAAGAGAGATTGTGGGACACCTAGGTGGCTCAGTCAGTTAAGCGTCTGCCTTTGGCTCAGGTCATGATCCCAGGGTCCTGGGATTGAGTCCCACATTGGGTTCCCTGCTCAGCGGGGAGTCTGCTTCTCCCTCTCCCTTTGGCCCTCCCTCTGCTCGTGCTCTCTCTCTCTCTCCTTCTCTCAAGTAAATAAATATCTTAAAAAGAAAGAAAGAAAGAGAGATTGTACTGAAAGTAGTAAATAGTTTTTTCCCAGTCCTTCCCTCTTCAGCCAATCAAACCCACTGGCACACATGTACTTGTTGTTTAACAAAGTGAATTACACAGGTGTGTGGAAGGCTTATCTTTAAGTCATCAAGGATTTATGCTACTCCTTAGGCTTGGGCTGCTTCCGGGTATCATGGATTATCACTGTGTTCCTTCATTTGTTTATATAAATGGGCCAATGGCTGTTGAAACACTTCAGAGCACTTAACTAAAGCAAACAAAGCTCTTGAACTTTAAATATCCAACAAGAGGAGCTATTGACAAGTAAGACTACTTAGCAAATCTCAGTATCATTTGGAACCTTAATACAATCTTCCAGATCTACAAAGAAGGCACACAACCCAGACATTTATCTTAACTTAGGCTCCACGTAGAAGACACTATCCTGATTTGAGACCAGTTTTAAAATATAATGCTGCCATCTAGTAGTTTTGCTTGCTTTCTTTAATTGTTGCTGAGACTGAAGATGAGTCTACCCACACAGAAAAGGGAAAGAGGGTGTTGGCTCCTATCTTAGCCTTCTAGCTTTTTGATTCCCTCTCACTCTTCACTCCTTAAACTCAAAGGGAAATCTTGTGATGGGAAACTTAGATTAACATCACAGTGCCTGGATCTCTGTCCCAGCACTCTCATTATCTGAAAGACTGTGCATAACTCACCATCCTTCCCTGAGAACAATGTCTCTGATCTGTAAAAGGTGGGAAGAGGATTGAATGCAAAGGTCCCTTTCAATTCTACTAGCCAATTATTCTACTATTTAATGTATTTACAATAATGAAATCAATTATTTGATTTATATTGGTAGCTAGAGAAAGAAGGCTACAGTACTGTTGCATATAAAGTTATATAAACTATTCCCAAACAGTAGCAATGGTTTCTTTGTGTTGTTTCTTTTATGTTTAGAAAGAAACTAATCGTATGTCTCTCTGGCGATTTTTGGAGATGTTAATATCATGATTGCATCGGGGATGTTGGAGAATCATTCTTGTATCTCCCTCTGGAATTCCGTATCTTACTATAGTTACTTGAATATGGCTTTGCTCTAGTGCCAGGAGGAAAAACACAAAAGAAAACACATTCTTTTTAAGAAATTTGAATCACTTCATCTCATTTCCATTTTCCTTTCCAGGCTGACAAATATGTTGAATTTCAGTTCTTCCCAAACTTTCAGGTTTTCTCATTCAACCGACTGTCTTATCTTCTCACCTGGAGTGTTAGAGCGACCAGGTTTCTCGTGGGAATGCAAGCTTTCTTTACAGGGTTCAAGGCATTAGCCTGCAAGAGATTTCTCAGGAAAATGCAAAACTTCTGGCTAGTGGACTGTGATTTCATCACCTATTGTTCAAAAAGCATTGCAGTTGTGATTGCTTCGGCAGCCCATATACTAAAATTGGAATGATACAGAGAAGATTAGCATGGGGCCTGCACAAGGATGATGCACAGATTTGTGACACATTCCAGATCTTTCTCTATGGCCACACCACCCTGAACATGCCGGGTCTTGTCTGATCTGGGAAGCTAAGCAAGGGGGAAAGACTGCTTAGTTATACCCAGGTGCTGTAGGCTTCACACACACACAAAAAAAGTACAAAGCATTAAAGTAATATTCCCAACTTTTGCTACTTATCCACTGCCCTCCATTACAATGACCACGTTCATTTTGTTTACACCCTTTACAGGCTCCCAGCTGCAAGACATTCCTCTTCTTTATCCTTTTCCTGATAGAACCACATGCACACCTAACTGTGGAGCAAAGTCCAAACCAGCTGGGAAACGAGATTCCTTGCCCCACATTCCTCAAGAACTGCCATTTTAGGGAGCAATGGCAAGGTCTTGTCACGTGCTTCTCTGTGTTTTAAGCTTCTTTTTCTTCTTCTTCTTCTTCTTTTTTTTTATGGTAAAAGCCTGTATTAGAGAGAGTTTGAACCACTGAATGATAAAATGTAGTCTTAGGCACAGATGCTGCAGGGAATAGCTTTTGAAATTCTCCAACATACTAAGTTATAATTGGGTTTTAATGCATTAAATGGCTGAGTAATTTAAATGTTAGGAAAAGAAAACAGTCTTTCCTAGAGTTTATGAAGTGGGAAGCCTATTTCTTATAATGATTAACTGTGAGTCATCATTTCAAACACAAGCATCCGTTCGCGTATGCTCCAGATAAGGCGTGCTGAACACACACAACAATTTACCAAACTAGTGTCTTATGCTGATGGCTGCTGCACATTTTATCTGTGAAATGAAGATGGGAAGTAACAAACCAAGCACCATGTTGAATTTGCTGTCTACCTGCCCCACCCTACTCAAAGAAGAATACTGTTTTAAAAGCATATATTCAATGTCTGCTTGCATCCGGTCCTGCTTGAAGAGAGAGACTGTACTAGGATTAGGAGGTCAACAGCCTAGAGAATTTGTCACGGTGGCCTGGAGGCCTAGTCTTGATAACTTGATCCATCTGGCTGCTTCTTACAGAAGCCTCTCTTTAACGTCAGGTTTGGGCCCCACACCACGAAAATCATGAGAGTCATGGTGGGCCCTCTTCCACACTTCATGACCAGGTATGCAGAAAATGTGGGCAAAGTTACCCCTACAGATCAGTTCTGAAAGCTCTGGGCCAAGAGACAAGTCCTTCTTGTACATTCTTCCTGCCCTTTAAGGCAAGGTTTGAACAGAGAAATCCTTGCCCTGAGCCTCAGAAGAACAGTATGTGGGAATGAGCTGTTTACCACTCAAAACCACTACTGTTTACATATGTGAATAGTGTTTAGATGTTCTCCTGGTAAAAAGAACACAGAAAAACGTGGGTAATAATACCCACACTGAGTTGCTGTAAGTGTCCAATAGGATAATGCAAGCAAAGATAGTGTAAGGAGCTTTGCAAATGCAATGTTATCATAAGGGAAACGAGGCCTCTGAATTTGTTAGCAATGCTTCACAGACTGAAAGAAGGAAAAGACAGCCTGAAAATGTGAGATGGTGGATTCCAAGTTATACTGAATGTAACACAAAGAAGCTAATAAAGAATGAGACAAGTCAGTTTGGTTCATATTGATGCTGGAAGGATGGACAGTCTGCAGAACTTAGCAGCTCTGGGTTCAATCCAGTCTCTGCCCCCAAATAGCTGTGTGATCTCAGTGAGGTTGCATATACTCTAGAAAGACTTTTAGATAGAGGAAGACTTAAAGTAATATATCTCCTTGGCATCAGCATCCTAACAAGGACCCTCTGGAAACATAATGGTACAGTGTCCTCAGACTAGTACTGAAAGGTACATAGTCTTAGGCAGATGAGTCTCTCACTACCAACTGAGTCCCAGATTCTAACAGAACCCATTAGCTCTTCTGTGGCAAGTCCTTCCCAACCAAGGGAGCCAACCTATTGTCTCAGTTGAGGGGTCAATCAATGTCAATTCTGTAGCATATAGCCGGGAGCATAAATTCCCACTCGAGTTTCTTATATTTCCCTTGCTAACAAAACTAGAGAACAGCAATATTAACCTAAATATTCTCATATGTTGCGATGTAAAGGGAGAGCAGATAGAGTTACTTTGAATTTAAGCTGAGTGTTAATGATAAAGTGTTCAAGTCACCATGATCTAAGCAAATGTTGAAGGAAAAAACACACACATGCACAGAGACACACAGACGGTGTGCAATCAGTAAGTCAACGCACATTGGCTAAAGTACAACCTAGTACAACACATTTATCTGGATTTGTAAACAAATAATACAGTGAACTGTAGTATCAGAATCAAATGCGTGGTGCGGAATAACGCATGCTGGCGAACCTACTGACCTTGAGTGGGAAGTCCCCGCTGTGTGACCTGAGCTTGCCAGTTCTATCGAGCGCCACTTACCACTTGGCTCAGGAGTCACGACAGGTGATAAGCAGAGGTTAGTGATAATACTGCTATTACATTATTCGAATATTATTGGCTATCATGTGAAAATTGCTTTAGAAGCATTTCTCGATTTAATTTCATCCTTATACTATTAAGCTTTTAGGGTGAATATTATTGATCCCATTTAACAGATGAGGAAACTGAGAGTTTAAGGGACCTCATGTTTCTGAATCCAAAGGTCTCACTCTTAATTTTAGGCCATACTACATAAATTCCAATCTCAGGTTGGATTCCAGAGTCTTTTTTTTTTTTTTTAATTTTTTTTAATTTCTAATTTTTATTTTTTTAATCTTTTTTAAAGATTTTATTTATTTGAGAGAGAGCAAGTGAGGATGAGCAGGGGGAAGGGCAGAGGGAGAGGGAGAAGCAGGCTCCCTGCTGAGGACCCTGAGATCATGACCAGAGCCAAAGGCAGATGCTTAACAGACTGAGCCACCCAGGTGGCTCTGGACCCCAGAGTCCTCAGTAAAATGATCCTAGATTATGTCTGGTCCTTAATTCAGAAAGGAACTTGAAATTATTCCTTTGTACTTTTCCATAGTTTCATTCTAGAAGGGCTTGGAAAGCTCTGCAATGATCAACTGACCAAGTGGCCGTTGGTTAGTAACCTTCAGTACCTACAACTGGGGCAGAATTTTCATAAGAGCGCTTTAAGTTCTTCTCTCATTCCCAGCTATATCAGAAGGAGACTGACCCTCACCGCCTGTCACAGACTTTGACACTGAAGTATTGATTGCTTCAAAACTGCAAGAAAAATACAGCTCAGATTTACAGGTTATGATCATAAAGAAACCTTGGAAGAATTATTTATACTAAATGATAATAGTGTAAAATTCTGCGGATAAAGGAATTACGGTGATGTTCATTTTCTTCTTTAGGTTGGTCTGTATTCTTAAAATATTTTACAGTAGATATGCATTATCTTGTTACTGGAAAAGTTATGTTAAAAATAACACGGTCATATACTGGTCTGATGATTTTATTTAAAAATAAGTCTCTAAAATGTTCTCTCTTATTGTAACAAGACACACCTTATTCTGTGCTGGTTTTTTAAACTTATTAAAATGTGATCTGTAGTTACATCATATTTATTTTGATTTCTATCATCTGACAATAACTGTGGGGAATGCTGTGATAAAATCCGAGCTCTGTCCCTCACTAACTGCAAGACTTAGAGTAATTTAACCTCCCCATGAATAATAATACAATTTCCTTGCAGTGAGGTGAAGTTTCTTAAAATTCTCTATCCCTCCATAGTTTTTCTTCCCTCTTGTTTAATATAGAACTTATTTCATATAAGCCATTTGACACTTAGCCTTCCTTAAATTGACTTTTTGCGTGTTACTCTGTTTCACCAACTGGTCAAATGAATAGAAGGGTACACAGCTCTGTCTGTAGTGTCAGGTTGAATGTATGGAGAATGTGAAAAGTAAATGAGACTTGGTCGCTCACAATCAAGTAGGGCCTAATAGATTCATATAAATAACCATAAATACAAGTTAAATGCTAAAGGAAATTGGGGAAAGGGAAGGTTAATTCCAAATAGAACTGGAAGCCACAAAGACTTCATATATAGCATAGCATTGAAGAAGGGCCCTGAAAGAGGGACAGTGTTTCACAGGCTGAAAAATGGGGGCATGATCAAGAAAAAGTATGAACGTTTGCATCCTCTAGCTCTTAGTATTGTGCTTACACAAATCATCTTCCACTGTTTCATTGCTCATTATTCTGCTTAAACCTTTAGTCTTTGTTGGTTGAAATTAACAATGATGGAACATCTCTCATGTCCAAGAAAGAACCAGATTTTGAATTTGGGAGCTTTTTCCCAGAGGGAGGAGAGTTTGGCCAGAGCCTGGGACCTTTATAGCCCTCTTAGCTATGCAGGAAACAGATTCTTATGATACATGAAAAGCCAAATTTTTATCCATATTCTGCAAAGGATAGAAGGCAATTTGTTTTTGTTTGGTTGATGTGAGCTTAAAACTCTGAAAATACCTTAACGTAAGGATGTTTTTACCTGCTTTCTGTTTGGTTGGTTGGGTTTTTCTGCAAAGTGCCTCCTTCCCCAAAGAAAGGTATGCAGCGGCAAATGGAGGCCACGTTACTTAACCTATGTTTTCATTTTTTTAAAGACTTTATTTGTTTGAGAGAGAAAGAGAGAGAGAGTGAGCAGGGGGAGGAGCAGAGAGAGAAGCAGACTCCCTGCTGAGCAGGGAGCCAGACATGGGGCTGGATCCCAAGACCCCAGGATCATGACCTGAGCAGAAGGCAGATGCCCAACCATCTGAGCCACCCAGGTGCCTCATCTAACCTATATTTTCACATCTGCCAGGTGGGGATGCTTATAGTACCTACATCAGAGTATTACTATTCAAAGTATTTAGCAACAGTAGAAGCTTAACAAATGTTTAAGACAAAGGAATGCATGTGCCTTCTCAATAAAATAATCTATTCTTGGGGGTGGAGGAGGCACAACAAGCTCTTTTTTTTTTTTTAAAAGATTTTATTTATTCATTTGAGACACAGAGATACAGAGAGAAAGCATGAGCAGGGAGAGAGGCAGAGG